CTATCCCAGCCGAAACCAGGACAATGCCTTACTCTGTTATTTGGCCCTCTACTCTTCAGTTAATTGCCCTGACCTTCTCTTGCTGTCTGTACATTGTAAATTTTCTGTGAAAAGATTCTTTCCACTGATGATTACAATACCTATTATTATTACAAATACATAAATATATCATCAGAACAAGTTAGGTTGCTAATATTATGGCTCAATATGTGATTTTGGCTATTTTAATTTGTGTGATATCATGAGGTACTTTGGAGGGGAACTTGATTTCTTACTGAGAGGAGACACAGCAGTTTTTCTAATAGCACATACCATATTTGTATTTTAGTCCCAAATATCATGTGAGGCAATCTCCTGTTAGCTTTTATTCACATTGTGGGATTCTGGAATATCTTTCCTGTCCCAAAAGTATCCACCAAGATTGACAGATCTGACAGTGACTTGGCATTTAGTTTTATGAAATGTTTTATTTCTTGAACCAATTGCATAAATAATGGACTACACGGCTTTATTCTGCTACATTGTCTGCCCTTCCTATCTGTCATGAATTACTGTGAATTTGAAATTCAGACTTTCTGTTTATCTCTGATAACACTGCCCTTTTATATACAAGTTAAGTATTAATACAGAGCTACAATTCGAACATGAGGAGCCCAGTTAATCTAAGAGTACCAAGAGGAGCTTAGCAACCACCTGAGATGCAATTTTGCAGTCTGTAAACTAGAACAAATGCATTCTACTGTTGTATCAGACTGTGACTTAAGTGCCACATTACAAAGGTTTGATATCAGACAAAAATACCCAGTACCTCCCCCTGTGCTCAGAAAACGTAGAACACACAAATCCCGTGATTAAAAGCAGTAATGCCAGAGCAGTTAGAACATCATCACAGGGGGAGTCCTACGGGGTGAGCAGTGACTGAGGGGACATGAGACAGCATGTCACTGTGAAGAAAGTCTGCAGTGCTGCTGGCATTAGAACTGTGCCCATCCTCACGACTCCACAGTACTCATCAAGGATTGAATTCGTTCATAAAGAACTAACCTGTACACCACTTAACTTCCTTTGAACCAATATTTTCAGGTATTACCCAATGCAAGCCAGCCTTTTTACTCTGCATATTGTTGAAAGCAGCACGTAGATTGTACACGGGTTGGCAGTTCCTGTCACTTACATCATTGTCAGGACAAAGTCATTGAATTCAATTACTTAAGCAGTGAAGCTGATGCACTTCAGGTTCATTTTCTTCTTTTTGGCAATAAAGCTCAAAAAAAATCAAGGTCAGTTTTAAAATGAAAAAGAATGTCCTAATAATTAATATTCAAATCATAGTGTAATTTGGCACATATAAAAGTAAGTTCCTACTCCATATAGTCCAGGCAAAAATATCTAAAATCTGAGGTAGATCTTACCTTTTAGTCCCCAGCTCTGTGGCATGGGACTAGCAGAGTGCTAGCAAATTTGTGAAGTTGAGTTTCTTTTAATATGAATTTGGGCTCAGATTTTCAAAGTGGCTTCTAACTTTGGATCCCTTGAACATACCAGTTTAAGACATCAAAATAGACTCCATTTTTAAAAATGTAGGTCTTGTTCAACCTACCACACAAACCCCCATGTTTGCTAATCATCATACGATGCTGCACGAAGAAAATAAAACATTTTGGCAATGTTTCAAGAAATTCACTATTGACAACATGATTTTTGGTTGCCTAGCTTAGAACATTTTGAAACTCACTTGCACAAATGTTGAAGACGCATAGCTCTGGATGAAATCAGTGGGATCTGCTGGATAGTCTATGTTTATGGTGATAATGCCCAAGTTATCCTGTACCAGTAGTACAAAACTGAATTATACCAGCCCCATCAGGGCTGTTTGATAACTTTCCATTGAAATTAACAATGCTTAAATGTACTTTTACCTTTTTGATTTCTAATCCTCTCTAAAACTGGCCACATTCTCTTTTTCTGTGTATGTGTGTTTCTATTTTACATATATCTAAAAATCAGTTTTTCAACTATGAGTAAAATTTAAAACTTTCCTAACCAAGTCTGGTGTGACTGCAGACAACCAGTAAAAGCTTCAATCTACATATCTCAGCTTCTCTTTCATTTTAGTCTCAGTCATATTCCTGGCACATTAAAACCCCAAATAATTAAATGAGTTTATAGGAGGGATACTATAGAAAGGAAGCAGAATTCTGTAGTACTGGGTTTTTCTAAACCACAGAGAGTGGAAATGGGAAAATTAGAGCAGCTGTAGTAAGCGCAATCTCAGATCTCATTCCTGAGCCCCTGTGCAGTGCAATTGGTGATTTGGCTTGAGTGGAGAAGTATATGAAGTAAATTTGCAGGGATTTTCATTTTGGAGAAATGGTATTCTAGGACTACAAAAAAGACTTTGAGCTGGAACTGTCTCCTTAAATTAGCTGTTCTCCTTATGTGTCTCATATAAAAATTTTACCTTTTCGTCAGATGGACTTCAGTTGCTCAGTAAAGTTGCCTGAGTAGAACAGTGGGAAGAGAATTTCCATAAGGAATCTAAAATCACCATTTAAAGCTAAAAAACCAGCTGTAGATATAGGTGAAACTCTTCTGACCAGAAGACTCTTGCTCATGACCCCAACAACAAAAAAATAATATATTTGAACAACAAAAGATCAGCTGATTCCAGCTGACTGCTTTCCACCAAACTTAAACAGAATTCACTCCAGAAAAAAGAAAAAAAACCCAAAACATTAATAGCACTTGATGTTAATGTCTACAACAGTCACTTTTTCTGTCACTTCATTTTCTAAAATCATTTAGTGTTAGGACAACTATTTAACTTGGTTGGAAGTTCTGATTTTTACTTTGTCTCCAAACTATTGGACTGCATAATTTTGTTAGCAATACTACTTAGATACTAGCAAATAAAAAAAAAAAAAAAACACACCTCACGTGCTCAATTCATCCCCCTCATAATTCTGATGAACTTTTATTCCTCAACAGGATTGCCAAACACTACAGTCCACTCATTATTCAAGTGATTTCCTAAATGCAGTAGCCTGTGCAGTTGTCCTATTGCTCTGTGTATTTTAAAGACCTTTCTAAAAAGCAATTCCTTTACCACTGTGTCACTGGATGTGTATAATCGTACATCTGTGCTTATGCCATTACACTCCACTATAACTGTGTACATGTGAGCAAGTATTATGGTAATTTTGGATATCTGGCATTTCATCTTAATCTCTTTTTGTCTTCCTTTTTCTTTAGGTTTCCCAGTTCCTGAGGTGAGCTGGTATCGGGATGGCCAGGTTATCTCTGCTGCAACTCTGCCCGGTGTGCAGATCTCGTTTAGTGATGGCCGCGCTAAACTGGTGATCCCCACCGTGACAGAAGCAAACAGTGGAAGATACACCGTACAAGCCACCAATGGATCTGGGCAAGCAACTAGTACTGCTGAGCTACTTGTCACAGGTATCAAGCAGCTAAAGAAAGGCACCTCTCTCTGCTAGCTATGTGAGGAAAAAAAGTGAAGTGTCACAGATCATGAAAAAAGTTTGGATTTGAAGTACATGATTAGCAAAGAAATAGCAAACCAAATTCCTTTTCCTAAAGCAGTCTAGAATTCAGCATATATTGTCACCAGTAATTTCTAACAGCATCCTTTACGCCTTAACCGTATAAAGTTTAATCTTGATCTTATAAACTCTTAATCACAATTACAAACTTCTGGCTTAGCCCTGTATAATTCTGCTCATGTGATCTGTCATACTGGGTACATTCAAACTACACATAAAAGAAAGGATAAAGTTCTGCAGGATGGAGCTTTTAATGATATTTAATGATATAAATGATATTTAACAGAATAACTCACATAAAGGGCCATACTCAAGAGACTGCACTTACTACCTATGGTTATAATCAATGTATCTCTAATTCTAGAAACATTTGCAGCTGTGGGCATAATGAGAAATATCAGAAATGTTAAACACATGAAAAACATTAAGGGTATTTGCATTTTGGCAAATAACTCCTACTGCTTTGAACATTTGAGAAGGTCAGTCAGTAGCATCTGTCAGTAGCATATGAAGGAGAAGTAGACCTTGTGCACTTCTAGTAATGAAAATATCTAGCCCTTACAGTTCTTTTTAACAGACATTATTGTTTTTCTATTTATTTCTTCAATAAAACTGCAGCTGGAACAGTACCACCAAACTTCTCACAACGACTACAGAGCATGACTGCAAGGCAGGGAAGTCAAGTTCGACTTGACGTGAGAGTGACTGGAATCCCTACACCTGTGGTGAAGTTCTATCGGGATGGAGTAGAAATCCAAAGCTCCCCCGATTTTCAAATTTTACAAGAAGGAGACCTTTACAGCTTAATAATTGCAGAAGCATATCCTGAAGACTCCGGTACCTATTCAGTAAACGCCACAAATAATGTGGGACGTGCTACTTCCACAGCTGAATTGCTAATTCAAGGTAACGGAGTTGAAGTTGCAAGCCATGAAAATAAGAGAGCATTCATTGTTGTCATGGTACAATATGCACCACTTTGTCAAAGTTATACCAATAAGTTCATTTATAATTCCTTTCTCAAAAGTTATTAACTTTCTTGTCTTTGGTGAAATTTGCGAAAAATTTTTGTCTGAGAATTTAAAAGGACTTTTTCTCCAGAATGGCTCTTCTTTAAACTGAGGATATGGTAGACAGAAAAAAGTGTGGGATATTTTCAGTTGTTCTCATTTTGTTCTGTAGATTTCTCAAAGATGTTTTTGTAAGCTGGCTTTGATAGAATGGATAGATTAGACTGCACAACTGTACATGGTCTTGTAAATGAGCCTTGTAAGGATGAAGACAGTCCTTAGATAGAGGAGAATTTTAGCAGTGAATCATTCTACCCAGAACAGCTTGCTTGGATTTCACCTCAGTCAGGCTTCCAGACTGTGTAGTCATTTAAGATCCAGGACTGATTCTGAAGAACCTACAATAGATGTGTTTTGTTTTGGTTTGTTTGGTTTTTTTTTCTAATGACATAGTAATGCAGAAATATTATTTCAACATGTTTTCACAATTATCTGTCTATAGATATTGTAGGAAAAACAGACGGTTGCTTAATTCTTTCCCTGTTTTTTTATATACATTTTTATGTAATTGGAATTAACCATTCATTTATTTCTGCAACTGCTTATTGTTTGTTCCGTATGCAATTCTCCTGACCATGTTTTCTCTTCCAAAAGGTGAGGAAGAAGCCGTTCCTGCTAAAAAGACAAAGACAATTGTTTCGACTGCTCAGATTTCACAAACAAGACAAGCCAGAATTGAAAAGGTATATTTTTCAAAAACAAAGCAGGTAAGGCTAAAAAGCAGATGATTACTTCTACAGTACCTCAGACTTGTTTTCTTGATTTCATTGTAGAAGATTGAAGCCCACTTTGATGCCAGATCTCTTACAAGTGTTGAAATGGTCATAGAAGGTGCAACAGCCCAACAGCTCCCACATAAAGCACCTCCACGAATGCCTCCTAGACCTACATCAAAATCACCAACCCCACCAATAATTGCTGCAAAAACACAAATGGCACGACAGCAATCACCATCACCTGTTAGACAATCACCATCACCTGTAAGACATGTCAGAGCACCAACACCCTCACCAGTAAGGTAAACTTATTATTCTTTCAAACAAGATTGCTTTTTGAATCACTTTCACATATAGCAGTAATGCTGTAGAATGAGAGCATAGTACAAAATGGAAGAATGCACTGACTTAATACTGAGTTTATTCTGACTGTGAGTTATAATGTGCTATATTTGCCACTGATATAGAAGTGTGTGCCTCATGTAAATTTTTTATCCCATATGGAAGAAAATCCTTTAGAGAATAAATCCCATTTGATTGCTCTACATACAGCTGAAGTAGCACTCAAAGCTCCAAGTTCATGATGAAAGAGAAGAAAACAGTAGAGCAGTTGGCCCTTGATTATTTTAGACAAACAGAGAAAAGAGCAATGACACTCTGATGAGTGGCAAACAGAACGGAAGGATATGTGAAAAAGTGTGAACACGTGTTCTATGTGTGTGCTGGTAATGACTGCAGAAATAATGTTTTGAAGGTAGGCAAGGTAAATGTGGTTATAGAAAAATGAAGTTTAGCTCTGCTGCGTAAAGTGTCTTGAGAGGTAAAGTGAGTGATTTGAAGAGCAGGGCTCATGGTCTGGGACACACCAGGAGGTCTGTGCTGAGAGGCAGGTAAAGAGAAAATTGTTTTGGAAGTCCTTCAGCTTCAGCATCCTGAAGCACCAGTGTCGTGGAAGGAATGTCTCCAAGCTGAGTGCTCAGAAGAGCCCTATTTAAATTGCCAGAGCTAGGTACGCTGGTGAACTTTGCCCTGTTGAAAATAACTTGCAAGGACAGGAAGAAATGTGTTGATAGTAACTAGCAATAACTAACAAACTGCACAGATGGAAAAATAATTCAATAGTGCCATCTAGAGTGCATATGAAACTAGAAGTTTGTACTCCCTTGCTACTCAAACAACTTTTAGACATACAACACATTAGAAAATAAAACTAAAAATTAATATGACGCTGCTGCCCCCTACTGCTGCAATTTGTTAATGCTATCTGGGAAATACAGCATAAAAAAATTCCTCTCAGAGAAAATCTAAGTTAGAAAGCCTGTTAAAGCATTTTGAAAAATGTTTTAAAACTATCTGCTAGGACTGGGATTGAATTTTTGGCATATTAAAATTTAGAAACTAGCACTTTCCAAGTGGCTACCAATTATTGTGTCTGAGATTTGTAAATGTAAGTATGGGAGAAAATATACACCCTGATCAGAAACTTGCCTGGAGTCTGAACACATATATGGATGACGCATGGAAATGAGATGTGGTGCAGGAGTAGATACAGTTACGTTGTTGCTAGGTGGCTGCCACATAATATTTTTACAAAAAGCAGTTACACTAATCATTTTGTGTCTCTACAGAGACCACAAATATAATATGTAGTACTCACAGCCTGTAAGCCTTTTATATTATTCCTATTAGGAGAACTGAGATAGAGCAAATGGAAACTAATGATGTATTTTTATATTTTAAATATATGTTCTTGAGTAAAATGCCCTTTGACATTTGCCCTTGTTTCTTTTTGGAAATCTAAGTAAGCTACTACAAAGATGTGTTACAGTTATGAGTGTGACAAAAACCCTGTCCTGGTTTCAGCGAGGATAGAGTTAATTTAACAGTAGGTGTAATGTTAAAAAGAGATAAGTGTAACTTACAAGCAGAACACCTCAAAAACTTTTTAAAAATAAAACTACAAAGTACTGAAGGCACCCTAAATGGGGAGTGAATTCAAGTTCAGGCTGAAGTTGTTCATATAGTTGTTGTTGTATGACACTACATTTATTATATTTAATTTTTCATTAGGTCAGTTTCTCCTGCTGGAAGAATCTCCACCTCACCCATTAGACCAGTGAAATCTCCGTCTCCAATCCGTAAAACACACGTAGTGACAACAGCTGGGGCCGATGTCCTTCCTCCTTGGAAGCAGGAAGGGTATGCTGCAACCACAGAAGCCCAGATGAGAGAAACAAGAGTATCTACAAGCGCTACCCAAATAAGAACTGAAGAAAGATGGGAGGGGAGATATGGGGTCCAAGAACAAGTTACCATTAGTGGTGCTGCTGCTGGTGAGGTTGCGGCTGGGGCTAGAGAGGGAAAGTCTATTTTTGGAAAGAGCATTGGTTTTGCTCTATGTGTGGACTCACCACCGCTGAATAGATCTGCTAAATGGAATCTGAGAGGCTGTGTATAAAAACGCGTGTGTATCTGCTGTTGAGAGAGTTCTGCTGCAAATATTTAAATGCTTCTTTGCAACGTTCTGTCTCCGTACTTGTTTTTTGCTTCTTCTGAATGTGTGCAAAACATGAAAAAATGTCTTTTGATGTGACTAATATAGGTGAGAAAGGACAGTGAAAAAACAGCAGCTGTTGCTACGGTTGTTGCTGCTGTGGATCAAGCCATGGTGAGAGAACCAGCTCCAGGTGTAGAGCAAACTGCTAAAAGGACAGCAATGACTGCAGTCCACGTTCAACCTGTTCAGGAGCAGGTAGAAATAGAGCACAGACATTCTATGATTTCATCTTTATCCCTTCATCCAACATGCAAATAAGGCATGATTCACTGTGAGGAATTAACAAGATATTACCCAGTGCACCGCAAAAGCATGCATACTCGTATAGAGCATTTGGACTGTAAAGGAATGCTCATGGATCACTTACTCCATTGCTTTCCATCATAGCAGGATTGAACTAATTATTCTTAAACTGGTTTTAAGTTTAAGAATGCCTTCTATGAAAGTGATCCTGTACTCTCCCTTGTCATTTATTCTCTAACATTATTCTTACACTGATGAATATCCTCTAATATCTCATTTATAAATTCCCCACTAGGAATAAAATAATTCTCCCTTAGTATTTTTCTTTCAATAGCATTCTTCTCTTATTTTTCCTTCTCCTCTTCTTTTGACAATCAATTTGTTCAAATGAATTTTAAGGCTTTGGTTTTTTTGTTTGTTCCTATAAAAATCAGATGAGAAAGGAGGCAACAGTAGTAGTTACCAGTGATAAAGCCACAAAACAAACAGTAATATCGAGAACTAGAGAAGGAATTCTTACTTCACAAGAACAAAGGCACATCTCTCATGAAAAGGTGAATACAGATGTTACTTATGATTGCCATACCCTACCTTGTTCAAAAATCTCATATCTCATAAAAAAGACAAGCCTATGAACAAGACAAATGACATACCATAATATTATTTTTTCCTTTTATGTATGTTCACCCTTCTAGTTTACATTGGTATCATTCTCCCACCTCTCCTTGATGATGACCATATTTCCTTTTTTATTTCACTTCTATTATTAATACCTAAGAATGTGATAGATAAACTTGCAAAACATTAACTTAGAAAAAAAATCTATTTTTTGTGTGTTGTAGGGTGATTTACTAGATAGTATTCTCAATCATTTAAAGAATTTACACATAGGAAATATCTCTTAAATTTTCCTTTTTTTTTTTTCTGATTTTGTTTCTAAGCTTGCCATTTGTAGCCTGCTGTGTTTGTTGGCAGCAGAGTGGTCAGAAAAAGGAGGAAAAACTCATTCAATTGAAATCAATTTTGAAAATACTGATGGGTGATTGGAATTCAGATTATTTTAGCATGTGTTTTATCAGACAAATGTGATTTAATGGAAGACCAGCTTTTATAGAGAAACATTACATTTGCATTCTAGCTGAAATGCATGAGGAAGAAAGTGTAACATGTTTTTAAAGTACTGAGAAACAGAAATCCACTTGGGCAAAAAATTACATGTTTATGTGCAGATTACATCCGAACTTCTTGGCAAAGTGAAACTTACCTAAACAAGCTACCTTATTTTTAATATCCTACACTTTCTTAAACTGATTATGATGCAGGACAGTTTTTCTCTGATTCGATTTTTTTTTTTTTACTACTGCTTTCAGTAGCAAAGCAAGCATTTGTGGAATGTTTTATTATTTTTATGCTAAATGTATATACATTTTACAAAAAGTCCGTTTATGTTGTTGTTGTTGTTTCCAGATTAGATGATTTTGAAATTCAGTTTGATATTTTTCCTCCCTTTCGTTTGTATCCTCTTTTCCAAATGTATTGAAAATCACATACCTTATATTTTTAAACAATATATATTTAAACTTCTTTATTTTTAAACATCCAGGTAAGAAAAGAACCAGAGAAAACTCCAGTACCCACAGTAATAATTGCCACAGACAAAGCCAAAGAACAAGAAAGGATATCAAGAGCTAGAGAAGAAATATCTACCAGACATGAGCAAGTGCACATTGCTCATGAAAAGGTAAGTATATGTTACAGATGTTTAGCTCATTGTTATACTTTAATAAGTTACAAAACCTCATTCTTCATCAAATGTGCTACGTATCTTTGCTCTGCTTCTTTATGAAGAGAAGATTATAAAATGAAAACTTTATAAAGCAAGGTATTCCAGATATAGGCCCAGCACTGCAAGTCCAGTTCTACTGACTTCATAGCAGCTCTGTCTACAGAGGAAGAGTGCAGCTGCCCTTCCTACAGATCCTTTGAGCATTATGGCTTTTATCGCCAGGGTAGTCAAAATCTGATACTTAATGACCTTTGCTTTTTGTCTGAATGTAGATTTCTGAAGATAAATTGTAAAGGTTATCTCCCATGATATGATATTTACGTGTGGAGTTTGATTTAATGAAGTTCGTATTTGTGTGAGGACTGAATGCATCTGCTAGACCATATTGTGGAACCATTGTTTGTTGGAGTAACCAATGAAATAGTTCCATCTACCGATGGGAGTAAATATTAAGTCAGTAATACTCATTTTTTTGCAAACAGCTTCTACAAAACATAACGATGTTATGTTATGATTATAATCACAATTAACTAGAAGTGGGAAGATTCTTCTCTAATTCACACACAGATTAATGCAATATGTTAATGACTTTGAATGTACTTCATTCAGCTAGCATATAAGATAGGCTATAACTTGGTCTGTACAAAGGAATTATTTCATTTCTCAGGTGATGTTTTTCTCTTACTGATATACATACTGAAATCTTATCCCACTTTCCCAAAAAGCTGTGTAATTTTGACAACGGGCATAATTGATTACTATTATTTTTCTTTACCATAAAAACTAGATAAGAAAGGAAGATATGAAACCTTCTGTACCTAAGGTAGTAATTACCACTGAAAAACCTAAACCACCGGTCATGATATCGAAAAGTAAAGAAGGAATTGCTACCAAACAAGAACAAGTGAGCATAAGCCATGAAAAGGTGAATAGCACTATTAAAACCATATTTGGTTTTTTATCCGCTCCTCTTTACAAACCTTATGTGTCTCTCAAAAAATACTAACTATACATTTCCAGCTCATTTTTTCTAAGATTTATTCCACTTACAAACTTTTAGAACTAGTCTAATTCGACTATATTATTCCACTTCTTTTTTTTCCTCTCCTAACTGTTTTCATTAATAGGATGCCCATAATTCTCTTCTGACTGACCTTTGGAATGGACTGACTGACTCCTGAAATGCATTTTAACTTTTTTTTTAAAATCATTACTTTTATTTGAATAGGTGTCAGGTTGTAACAATACTTATCAGTATACATATGAGACAGAGCTGTGTGCAGTGCACAAGGATCTAACCCCTTAATTCTCCTTCCCTGTTCCCATTCCAGAATGCTTTCCCATTGTTCAAATGTCTTTCAAGATCATATGTAACTGAAACTTTTATTTCTGCTATAATAATTAGATTAAAAAGGAAGCTAAGAAAACTACTGTAGTACCGAAAATAATTGCCACTGATAAAACCGAAGCACCAGTCACAGTGTCCAGAAGTAGAGAAGAAATTACAGCCAAGCAAGAACAAACTCATTTAGCTTATGATCAGGTGAATATAGCTGTTGCAGATGTGAAATGCACTGTTACAATTTGTTTTGTCTGCAAACCTCACGATCTAAGAGCTACTTGGGTACAATAGATTGCCCTTAAATTAATTCCTGATAACATACCTGTTAAGTGGGAAGATTGTCAAGTAACAGAGTCAGTGTGATTAAGTTTCTAGTGATAAAGAGGTTTATGTCTCACCCTGTTAGGAAATGCCACTTTTAAGACTACAATTGGATTTCTCTGTGAAAGCTTACTCCCTACCAATGACTTTCAAGTAATGTTTACCTGTTCAAATTTCTGACTCTGCAATCTTTTTTTCTATGACGTGATTCCTTGCAGTTTTATGGTTGTCAGGTGAAACAACCTCTCTCTATTAAGGTTTGAATTGTATTGTTCTTTGTACAATACAAACTTCAACATCCTTTCAAGTCTGTCCAGTTTATTACTTCTGACAATCAGACACTTGTTGTCACTGCTTTGTTCCAGTAGGACTCCCACAGTAGAAAAGCTTTTCTATTATAATATAGCCAGGAACTCTCATATGTGGAAGAATAGCATGGTTGCCAAGAGCTTTTATTTAAAGTCCATCTATCTACTTTGTTAGAAACAGTATGGTACATTCATAAAATACTTTTATAAAATATAATTAAAAGAGCATAGCATATAAAACTCAGAGGAGGCAGACTGCTAAGAGATTACAGATACTTGTTAGGTGATGTAAATTTAGGGCCAAATTCAAGTTGGTATAAACAACGATTTTGAAATTGGCAATGATACTGAATAAGAGGTCCCTGTTGTGTAAACATTAATAATAAAACAAAATCTCTGTAAAAAATCACATTTTGGCCTCACTTAAGTTTAAGTGATAATGAGTTAGTTTAAGGTGATAATGATTTTAAAATCAGCATGAAATTATCTTAGTTTTTTTCCCATCTACAGGGCATACATTTCATATGCTCTGTTGCTACATGCAGATCAGTTATGACAGTAATAATAAACACTAGTAGTAATCATCCCATTGCCTACTGTTGGCTGATTGAGCAGAAATTTGGACCCTGAAAACATAGAAGTTGACAGTATTTATCGGTTATTAGAAACAAATAAAAGTCCTGATACAAATGAATCCTTGCAATTTCTCAGAAAGTTCAGTTTTCCTTCTTTTGTAAAATCATTTAAAATAGATTAGCACTGGATTAACAGATATGCTTATGGTAACAATTTTTATGGGTATATTCCTTAGCAAATATTTTCACATCAGATGCTAGACACATTCTCTGTTTTTAGCAGCATCTAACAGTCATATGGAGTTGATGAGCATATTGACTTCAAAATCATGTGTGCATTTACATACCTTCCATACTCTTACATACAACTAGCCATAAATGTGACTATAAAGTATTAAAAGTGGGCTTGCATACAAATATTGATATGTATAGAGCACACAAGCACAGATATGTTCTGAATATGCATAGACAGAGCTTAGAAAAAATACGTCTATATTTGAATCTACTGACTCTGAAGTGTATTTATGGGTGAACACATTTGATGTTTACATTATTACTTTTGCATATCTATGCACTCTCTCTTTATCTGGAATATACTTTACTGAGCATTATATTTGTATTTGACATATATGCAAGCCTTTAATATAATGAATATTTGTATAAATTCTGCCAATGTTATCTGTAGACTGAAGCTGGAAAAAGGGCTGAAGCTGTAGCTACAGTTGTTGCAGCTGTTGATCAGGCACGTGTTCGATCACCCTGGGAACCAGAACAAGCAGATGAAGCTTATGTAAAGCAGAAAACTTTGGAATATGGCTATAAAGAGCATTCTGTAACAGACCATGTTGCTGAGGCCCCAGCAGAACGTCACGTTGTCACTAAAGAAGTTAAAACTGTCTATGTTCCTCCTGAGAAACATATCTCAGCTGCTGAAAAGAAGGAAGTTCATATATCAACAGAGGTTAGACTCAGTTTACGCTCCATTCTTTTCCAAAAATCTTGTCCCCGTGAAATCTGTTTCAGTTTGGAGAATAGCATCACGTTCTCAACAACTTTTTTCATTGCTTTGTGTAGATAAAAAGAGCAACAGAAACTAAGACTGAGAAAACAATTCATGTTGAACACCCGCGACCCCGCACAGCAAGTCCTCACTTCACAGTCTCCAAAATTGCAGTTCCTAAACCAGATCATACATATGAGGTAAGAAGTGAAAACTGTATCCAAGAAGAACAGCATGCTCGTTTATAATAACCAGTTGGTCACTCATTCCATTTGGCTTTTCCTCCTACTCCAGTACGGAGCTTTCCCGAGAAGAAGAAGAATAGTTGTATGCTCTCTACAGTTGTTTTTGTTGGCTTGTTTGACTAATAAAGAGCAGTGCTGTAAACAGACACATGAACGGCTAAAATGTGATTTGTAATTATTAGTTATTTAAACAAGCTTTTCATGTAACAATGCAGCTTCAATACTTCGTGTCATACAGTAAAATCATAAACATTTGTCATACAACTTATGTTTTTTAAAGGGCAGAAGTATCCCTCTTCAATCTTATTATATGCACTAGTTTGCTAGCACATTGGAAGCAGTGCTTCTTCCTTCCTTGCAGATTACTACATGCTAAGCCAATTTTTGAAATAGGAAAAATCCAGACTGCATAATACTAGACCATCCATTTTTAATGTTATTTTTTTCCATTCTTCTGTTCAACTCCTTCACATAATATTAAAAGTTCCCATTTAATTAATTTTCTCATTCAAGCAGACTTTCTCTCTTCACCTGGACTTTAAAAATGAACTGGTTTCTCAAACGTAATTAAACACTATAAAAATTACCTAAAATATTTTTCTCTTTAAAGATTTATGTATGTTTTCCAAAGTTATTACACCTACAATAACATTTTGAAATCTCTTCTGTTATTTTAATCACTGACAGTTATGTAATTAGTAGTATTGTTTATTGCAGTATCAGACTGATTAAATGGAAAGCTAAGGCCTCAAATGAATAAATTTAGATTTTCATTTCTCATGTTGCACTTAAGAGCTTCTTGAACCATTTAAAGATCAAATTCTAAAGCAAAAAAAGAGAAAATATGTCCACATTAGACACGTCAAAAATAATACAAAGCTATTATATCTCTAGTATTCTACTACTGCAATCTAAAACTAGAAGTCATTTTTGTATATATAGCTTTTGCAGTGTCAACAAAGAAGTAACTAAGGAAGCAACTGGTGCATATGCAATCTGCTCAGGAAATACACCGTCTGCTTTGAAAACAAGAGAACAACAAAGCTGTAACTCTTTCTCTTCTGTTCCCTAGGTTTCAATAGCTGGATCTGCAATGGCTACTCTGGAAAAAGAGTTATCAGCTACCTCTGCTGTGCAAAAGATCACCAAGCCCGTGAAACCACCTCAGCTAAAGCCACATGAAGTCAGGATGAAAGCAGAGCCAGTTGCCCCTCCACAGTTTCCCTTTGGAGACGCTGCTGAGACCTATAAAAGTCGCTATGACGTTGAGACTAAAAAAGAGACAGGTGTAAGCATAAAAGGCGAAGCAGTGCGGGAAGAACACTTGGTGTTGCGGAAAGGTGAAGCAAAGGTATGTTATTAAGCAAATTTCCATCACTTTGACTGACACTCATCTTAAAAACATAGCATAACCTCACTTGTTTGCTGTTTCCTCATTGCAATTTTCCACTTTTACAGCATTCTGCTGACTTTTATTTTTGTTGTTTTACACAAATCCTTCTAAGGACCTAATATTTACCTATGATAAGCAAAAAGTTCTTTTTACCTAATTTCTTTTTTTGTCTAATTCTGCTGTTTATATCCTTGACTTTGTTAGGTGTTTATTAACTGTTCTTTAAACAACCTAGGTGACAGAAACTGCCAGAGTTCCTGTGCCTGCAGAAATTCCTGCTACTCCACCTACCTTAGTCTCAGTAAGTAATTTGTATGTAGATTAGGGGAGTTACACTATGTTTTCACCCATTTTATATTCTAACTTTTATCTTTGAAAACCTGATCATGAAAATTTGGCTTTATTTAATCTTTTTAACTCTGTATTAGACTTACTCAGCCATACAATTTATCTCTGGTACAAACTATTCTGAATGTCTGTTATGGGGGTGATTCTTCACAATTATGTCACATAATAGGTTGACCTTTGCTGCAGTGAAGCAATTTCTCACCATGATCTGCATAAATGTCAACCTACCTTTTCATTTTCTTGTTAATAACAATAATGTTCAGAAATCCCAAATCCAGTTTCAAATACTTCCTTTTGGAAAATGCCTCTTTTTTCCTGGATACACTGCTGAACAGAACATTGCTTTGAAGTAGACATTAGATTTTCCATTCAAATAGGTTTTAGTTATTTAAATGTCTGTTTAGTAGTGAAAATATATACTGACTGTGATGTTTATTTTTTGTCATACAGGGCCTCAAAAATAAGACTGTGACTGAAGGTGAGTCTGTCACTCTGGAGTGCCATATCTCTGGTCATCCTCAGCCTACTGTAGCATGGTACAGGGAAGACTACAAGATTGAGAGCTCAATGGACTTCCAGATCACTTTCAAAGCAGGGCTTGCTCGCCTTGTGATTCGTGAAGCCTTTGCAGAAGACAGTGGAAGATTCACCTGCACTGCTACCAATAAGGCTGGGAGTGTCAGCACATCTTGCCACTTATATGTGAAAGGTAAGTATATTTATCACTGTAGGAAGACTATAATTTTGTTAACTGCATATTACTTGTAATGTAACTTAGACATTTTGTCAGCTCCCAAGTAGAACATATGCCTTGAATTCTATTCCAGGGCTATTAGGTAACAGGGCTGTAAGAATATGAGGAAAAGGCCAATTACGGGCCAGTGGGGACTCTTAACTTGCTTCCTCAGAGGAAGTACCCGGCCCTCTGAGCCCACTAACTACTTAACCTTCTCTCTCCTTGTGTCAAATAAACTCACTGCTTAAGCACTATTAAAGTATTTTAAAATCCACTATGTCATATTTGCCTTGCAGTTTCAGAAGAAATTGAGACTCGAGAAACCATTTCTGAGAAGGCTGTTACAGAAGAGAAACGGTACAGTTACTTTCCTAAACAGACTGCTCCTACTGTGGTCATTAGTTTCTTGCACTCTGTTTATGAGAGCTTCAGACATCAGCTCACTTACCTGCACTGGAATTTTATTTCAGCTATGTGGAGGCAAAGGACATTGTAATGGAAGATGTCTCTGCTGCAGCAGAGGAACTATCGGGAGAACCCATACCTCCTTTCTTCATAAGAAAACCCATAGTACATAAATTAATTGAAGGTGGGAGCATTATTTTTGAATGCCAAGTAGGGGGCAACCCAAAGCCACATGTCTACTGGAAAAAAGGTGGAGTTCCTCTAACGACTGGCTACAGGTACTTTGAATCCAACACACAAAAACTATTTAAACGTAATTTTTAAGAATATTTAATTGACAGTACCATAATTTTTATTCCCTTACTGATTCTGAGCCAAATAATATCACTGATTTCTGTGATATTTTATTTTTGAAATGGAAAAATCATAAGATCACGTCTTAATGTGAGACTTTAGAAGGCTGATGAGTTTTAAAATATAAATATTCAAAAGACCATAAAATGAGAAATGCTATATATCCTTAAAAACAAATCAGGAAGTTTTGACTTTGTTTTATTCTGTCTATGCAATGTTCGCATTCTGTCTGTGCAAATGTTGTTTATAGAAAGCAACACACTTTCTAGCAGAGAAAAAAAATACATTTGTAACATTCTTGAAATATATCATGCTATAATGACCTATATTAGCACAAACTATGTGCACACAGCATATACCATTTTACTGTATCTGATAATAAGATCTCTGATATTTCAGTACTGCTATTTGCACCCCATTTATTTTAGTGACAATTGAAACAAAGTAGATCTGTACTCTAGTTTCAGCATGGTTACTTTTCCTGTGGTGTTCTGCAGATTCATTGAGTGAGAATGGCCTGCAACAGTTTCTCTTTTTTTGTCTTGTACAAGTTAGGAGTGATTCTGATTAATTGTATAACTAAAAGCAAATTCACTAAAAAGTCTGTTCATCAGAATTGTAGAGAGCTTGTACTTTTATGTTTTCTGTAGATACAAAGTGAGTTACAAAAGAGAAACCGGGGAATGCAAACTTGAAATTTCCATGACTTTTGCCGACGATGCCGGAGAATACACTATTGTTGTTCGTAATAAACATGGAGAAGCTTCTGCAACGGTCTCCTTACTAGAAGAAGGTACATTGTAGATTAAAGAAATTGGAAAAATATTTCTTAAAATTAACTTTAAAAAGGGAAAATTATTTTAAATTGTGCTGCAAATTCTTTGTAACTTAGTTTGGTGAATTCAAGAAACATAAAGGGAGATCTCTGTTTCTGCAAGACAGAGTATTTGATATCGGGTTCTGGAAGGACTTATATTCTTTGCTAGAATATGTAGCCATAGGAACGTTCTTCTATTTGCATCCATAACAGCCTGCATAACAGAAGACATTCAGAGAGTGATATGGAGAAAGAAGGTTAATCAAGTAATAGATTGTTATATTACAGGGAAAGAAGCTAACTTTTTTTTTTTTTTCAATTGCCCTTGCAAAAATGCATGAAAGTTTGCAGGAGACAGAGCCGTGGTGAAGAAATTGTAAAATAGTCTCTACAGGTGCTTCCACTTTGAGAACTAGAACACCTAAATAGCAAACAGTAAAATTTTTACCTGTTTATAAAGCTCATTTGAGGGCATCAGTCTTTGCATTTTATTGCTGTTTGTATTTTATTGGCTAAACAGACAGAAACTCTGCTTGAATCACCAAAACCAGTAAAATAAGTTTGTACTTGTTTTTTCTATTCAATACAGTGAAAACCACAAAAACTTATCAAAATTAATGTGTTCTTAATTCTTAGCTGATTATGAAGCCTACATAAAATCGCAACAAGAAATGATGTACCAAACTCAGGTGACTGCATATGTACAGGAACCTAAACTGGCTGAGGTAGCCCCATCTATTTCATACGGTGACTTTGAAAAAGAATATGAAAAAGAACAAGCCTTAATTAGGAAGAAAATGGCGAAAGATACAGTGATGATCAGAACTTTTGTAGAAGATGAGGTATGTTTACCAGTCCATACTCATTTTGTATACTGACATTTTACCAGTACAAATCACTTCTTTACAGGGTCATTATCTGACACACAGAACTAATGGTCTTGCTTTTCTATATAGGAATTCCATATTTCTTCTTTTGAAGAAAGACTTATCAAGGAAATCGAACTCAGAATTATTAAGACCACCTTAGATGAACTTCTTGAAGAAGACGGAGAAGAGATGATGGTTGATATTTCTGAATCTGAAGCTATAGAAGCAGGATTTGATTTAAGATTAAAGAATTACAGAACCTTTGAAGGGACAGGAGTTACTTTCCATTGCAAGATGACTGGATATCCATTGCCAAAGGTACCCTAAACCTGTATGATATTAATCTATTTTAAAAACCATCTGGTGCTCTACTTGAAAAATCCCTTAACATCGCGTTGTCAGACATTCTACGTTCTGCATAGAAAACAGCAAATCTCAAAGGAAATCCAGCCTTTTGTTTTGATATCAAGCTGAATTTTCCGTTTGTCCCTTAATAGAACAGTGTTAGGTTGGTTAGCCAGTTCAGAGGTAGGTTAGGTTTACCAGTTAATTTGGTCTTGCTTCTCTATGTCTCTGAGTTAGCCCACGCAAGTGGTGAACACAGTAGCAAGTCCGGTCTTTGCTCTTTGTCAAAATGGGCTTTATATCTGTTTCTAGCTCCAAAACTCGTGTTTCAGGTTACTGTGAAAGCATGTTACTTTAGTCTTACTTATTTCAAGTAAAAATGTGATATTAACACATACACATGGGCTGTGACGATGCATCAGCTGGGAAATAGGAAGCTGTAATATGTTGTATGCATGGGTCATTACTGGATCTTTGTCTTTAGGAGAGCTCACATAGCATTCCACTGTTTCTTTCCATGCAGATTGCATGGTACAAAGATGGTAAGCGCATAAGGCGTGGAGAGCGCTACCACATGGAAGTTCTGCAAGACGGCAGTGCCAGTCTGCGTTTGCCTATTGTTTTACCTGAAGATGAAGGAATTTATACCGTCTTTGCCAGTAATATGAAAGGAAATGCCATTTGCTCAGCAAAACTCTACGTTGAGCCAGTTGCACCCACAGCAACTCCAGGTTATATGCCAGGACCAGAAGTTATGAGAAGATATAGGTAGGTACACAGTAATATATAAATTTCATGAGACTTCTGTGTGCTGTGAGAGACAGTCCAAAAACTCATTACACAGTAGCTGAACAGCTTAAGTTATTGGAGTTTGCATACCTCTAGAGAAGTTCTAAATGCTGTTTTCATGGCTTATATTGATTAATGTGTCAAATCTTTGTCTGATTTGCCTTCTTGATGAGCAATGCAGTTCCCAGAGTACCATCATTCACATGTGTATCCAGCCACAGTATCAGATTTGCAACCTCAGCAGCCATATTTATTTCTTCAAGTGCTCATGTTTTGGAAAAAAAATTCTTCTGCACTTGGAGTTTTAGTACTGTGTGCAACTCCTACTTCCCACCCTTGAAATAGCTGTGTTTCTATGACAGAAAAAACCCAGTGTTGCCATGTACTGTGTTCTGTCTCCACATATGTACACAGGATTATATGCATATCTGTACAGTATCCACAACCCAAAAATTTCCCTGGCTGTGGTGTATCTTAATATTATTCAGCTATTCAAATTGCTGTCAAAAACCTAAAGAAAATTTACTACAAATAAAAATTAATTGTGTCACAATTTCTCACAGAGATAAATTGGTTAACCTCTTGAAAATAAATTACGCTAAAGGCACAAGTTGAACTCTGTTTATCGTGTCAGCCCACAGCTATATTATGATGTTATACACATCTGTCTTATCTTTTCCTTCCAGATCTATTTCTCCACGCTCTCCAAGCCGGTCTCCTGCCCGTAGTTCTCCTTCTCGTTCTCCTGCCCGCAGATTAGAAGAAACTGATGAAGGACAACTAGAGAGACTATATAAGCCGGTTTTTGTGCTGAAACCTACATCATTTAAATGTTCACAGGGGCAGACAGCAAGATTTGACTTAAAAGTTGTTGGCAGACCTATGCCAGAGACATACTGGTTCCATAATGGTACATCAGCCTCATTTTCATCAATAAATAATCTTAAAAACCAATCTTACATGCATTTTACATCTTGTTGAGACACTGTTTTGAGTGTAACTTTTTTTTTTCATGTGTATCTGCAGGTCAACAAGTGGTTAATGACTACACCCATAAAATAGTGATTAAAGAAGATGGCACCCAGTCATTGATCATTGTTCCTGCTATGCCTGATGACTCTGGAGAATGGGCTGTAATTGCTCAGAATAGGGCAGGCAAAGCTTCAGTCTCAATGACTCTGACTGTGGAAGGTATCTACTATGCATGCTATTTTTAGGAGGCTGAGGAGTGTTTCTTATTAAAAACCATAGTTATGTCATTTCCTCTTGTGATAATTTACCCTTGCTGTTTCAGCTAAGGAAGACCTAGTCAGACCACACTTTGTGGAACGGCTGAAGAATGTTAGCGTAAAGGAGGGCTCTAGACTGGAGATGGCAGTGAAAGCTACTGGTAACCCTAATCCTGACATTGTATGGCTGAAGAACAGTGACATAATTGTACCTCATAAATACCCCAAAATAAAGTAAGCATTTTTATTTTGTTTAAATAATAAAGGAGTTAATAATCACCATCCTGCAAAGTGCTTCTTACAGTGTGCTGAATACCCTTTCTTCCGCAGAAGGGATTCACTAAGGGCTTAGTCCAATGGCTACTGAAGTTACTAACAGCTTTTGCATTGCAGCAAGGCTAAAAGATATAAAATATCTTGTAGGACTCACTCCATTTTTTTCAGCTTGTGTATTTGTGTATTTTGTATTCTGCAAAGCCAATGCTTTTACAAAAGAGATTTAGGGAACCTTTATCTGTCTCTGATTTTGAAGTCCTCTGCAGGCAAAACTGCCATTGAATTCAAGACTGGTTTTTATTATCCTTATCTGTTTGATTCTTAGGCACTGCACTCATAAACATGAATAAATATAAACAACGTGTCTAATTCCTCCAGAGATTTGCCTCTGGAGGCTTTAACCTAATTTTGGAGAAGGGCAAAAATGAATAACAAAGAAGTGTAAAAGAATTAAAAAAAAATTGTTTTAATATTTCAGGATTGAGGGAACCAAAGGGGCAGCTGCTCTTAAAATTGAATCTACTGCCAGGCAAGATGCTGCATGGTACACTGCTACTGCTATCAATAAAGCTGGGCGGGACACTACTCGGTGCAAAGTAAATGTTGAAGTTGAACATGCTGAACCTGAACCAGAAAGGAGATTAATCATTCCAAAAGGAACTTACAAAGCCAAGGAGATTGCAGCACCGGAGTTAGAGCCTCTCCATTTGCGTTACGGTCAAGAGCAATGGGAGGAAGGAGATCTCTATGACAAAGAAAAGCAACAGAAACCATTTTTTAAGAAGAAGCTGACATCTTTAAGGCTCAAGCAATTTGGACCAGCACATTTTGAGTGCAGGCTTACACCAATTGGTGACCCAACCATGGTGGTGGAGTGGTTGCATGATGGCAAACCCTTGGAAGCAGCTAACAGACTCCGCATGATCAATGAGTTTGGGTACTGTAGCCTGGACTATGGAGTAGCCTATTCCAGAGATAGTGGAGTGATCACTTGCAGGGCAACTAACAAATATGGTACAGACCATACATCCGCTACTCTGATCGTGAAGGATGAGAAAAGCCTTGTGGAAGAATCCCAGTTGCCAGAAGGCAGAAGGGGACTGCAGCGAATCGAGGAGTTAGAAAGAATGGCCCATGAGGGTGCTCTTCCTGCAGTTGCAGTGGACCAAAAGGAAAAACAAAAACCAGAAATTGTTTTGGTTCCTGAACCTGCAAGAGTCCTGGAAGGTGAAACAGCGCGATTCCGCTGCCGTGTGACTGGCTACCCTTTGCCCAAAGTCAACTGGTACCTCAATGGACAGCTCATCCGTAAGAGCAAAAGGTTTCGACTCCGTTACGATGGAATCTACTACCTGGATATTGTGGATTGCAAATCATATGACACAGGAGAGGTGAAAGTCACTGCAGAGAATCCAGAAGGTTTTATTGAACATAAGGTGAGACTTGAGATCCAGCAGAGGGAAGACTTCAGATCTGTTCTTCGTCGTGCTCCTGAACCCAAACATGAGCCTGTAGTGACAGAGCCTGGAAAACTTCTCTTTGAGGTACAGAAGGTAGACAAACCTGCAGAGGCAACAACCAAAGAAGTGGTGAAACTGAAAAGGGCTGAAAGAATCACTCATGAGAAACTTTCAGAGGAATCTGAAGAGCTGCGTAGTAAATTCAAGCGTAGGACAGAAGAGGGCTATTATGAAGCCATCACTGCTGTGGAACTTAAGTCTCGCAAAAAAGATGAATCATATGAAGAAATGTTAAAAAAGACAAAAGAAGAACTACTTCACTGGACCAAAGAGATCCCAGAGGAAGAGAAGAAAGCACTTCCTCCTGAAGGCAAAATCACCATTCCAACATTCAAACCAGAGAAGGTTGAGCTTAGTCCAAGCATGGAGGCTCCCAAGATATTTGAAAGGATTCAAAGCCAGACTGTAGCCCAAGGGACAGATGCACACTTTCGTGTGAGAGTGGTGGGAAAACCAGACCCTGAGTGCCAGTGGTTCAAAAATGGTGTGCAGATTGAAAGGACTGATCGTGTGTATTGGTACTGGCCTGAAGATAATGTTTGTGAATTAGTCATCAGAGATGTGACTTCTGATGATTCTGCCAGCATCATGGTGAAAGCAGTCAATATAGCTGGTGAAACTTCTAGCCATGCTTTCCTGTTAGTACAAGGTAATTTAAATTCTCTTGCTTTTACCCTACTGCTTATCATAGTGTGTTAAGTTTATATGGCCAGTGCACTGTTGATTTATTGCATATTGTTTTGCAGCCAAGCAGTTAATCAGCTTCACCCAGAAGTTACAGGATATTGTTGCTAAAGAGAGAGACTCTATGGCAACGTTTGAATGTGAGACATCAGAACCCTTTGTCAAAGTGAAATGGTTTAAGGATGGAATTGAGATTAATTCTGGAGACAAATACAGGATGCACTCAGACAGAAAGGCTCATTTTCTTTCTGTACTAGCGATTGAAATGTCTGATGCTGATGACTACAGCTGTGCACTGGTAGAAGACGAATCCATAAAAACTACTGCAAAACTTGCTGTTGAAGGTAAGAAGCACACAGCTCAGTACCACGCAGTACTGTTAAAGTGAAATCAGCTTCAGGAAAAAATAAAATAATTTAAACTGTTGTCTAACGCACTAAGAAATGTTCAAGCTGCTTTCATATTCTCGGAATCCAGTATGAAAGTTTGGAGATATATTTAGGTAAAATGGTTACACTGAATATATATTAATTTCCTTAGGCTCGCTTAATAAGAAATGTTTTCATCATGGGTGTCTAATCAAGCTTATCCATGAATGTAATTATTTTTGCCTGTAGGTGCTGTGGTTGAGTTTATTAAAGAACTTGAGGATGTTGAAGTACCAGAATCCTTCTCAGGTGAACTTGAATGTGAGGTTTCCCCAGAAGACGTGGAGGGGAAATGGTATCATGATGACGTTGAACTCACTTCTAATCATAAATATGTGATTGCATCCCGCCGTGGTCGCCAAATCCTCACTATTAAAGATGTTAATAAAGATGATCAAGGAGAGTATAGCTTTGTTGTTGACGGAAAAAGGACTCACTGCAAACTGAAGATGAAACGTAAGCATTTCTAATATATTGTCTATATATTATGGATTTTCTATATTATACTATATATTACAGCTATATCACTATATCCCATACCGCCTTAATATTCAATATTCTGCTTATCTGTTATGAGGATTAATTAACTTCATTTTATTCCACAGCTCGTCCCATGGTTATTCTTCAAGGACTTACTGATCAAAAAGTCTGTGAGGGAGATATTGTACAACTTGAAGTTAAAGTCTCCCTAGAAAATGTGGAAGGTGTCTGGATGAAAGATGGTCATGAAATTCAATCAAGTGATCGTATTCACATTGTGTTGGATAAACAGTCACACATGTTGCTGATAGAAGATGCAACAAAGGAAGATAGTGGAACTTACTCTTTTAGTGTTCCTGGTCTTGGACTGTCAACCACTGGACGGATCACAGTGTACAGTAAGTCATTATCACGATTTTGAAGGTGTGTTTGATTTTTGGTCCTTTAGGATTGCTTCTTAAAGGCATAGTTTTTTTCATTATGAATATTTTTGTAACTTGACAGGTGTGGAAATAGTGGTGCCTTTAAAAGATGTTCACGTAGTTGAAGGAACAAAAGCTATCCTTGAATGCAAAGTTTCAGCACCTGATGTGTCTTCCTCCAAATGGTACCTAAATAATCATCACATAAAGCCTGATGAACGTGTACAAGCTGTATGTAAAGGCACTAAACAGAGGCTAGTGCTTACCAGAACCCACGCGTCGGATGAAGGACATTATAAGCTAATGGTTGGCAAAGTTGAAACAAGTTGCAATGTCACAGTTGAAAGTAGGTTTCCTTTAAGATGCACAGTTCTTTGTGAAAATATTTCTTTAAATTCAAAACTGTGGAAGCAACTAATATATTTGTAATGTATTCTTTTTATAGAAATTCAGATTATTAGAGGTCTTCATGACATCACCTGCACTGAAACACAGAATGTATCCTTTGAGGTCGAGCTCTCCCATTCAGGGATTGATGTAATTTGGCATTTCAAAGGCCAAGAGATCAAGGCTGGTCCTAAATATAAAATTGAAGCACACGGCAAAATATATAAATTGACAGTGGTGAAGATGATGAAAGATGATGAAGGAGAATTTGTATTTTATGCTGGAGAGAAGAAAACATCTGGAAAGCTTATAGTAGCAGGTTAGTAGGGTTAAAGTCCAAGATTTTTATTTCACTGTGATTTAAAAACAATGCTCAAGGTACTGTACTTTGTAATTGTAGCAATTGTGCTGTTTCTGGACTTTTTTTGTCTTTAACTTGTCTTTTTTTCTATGTTCTCCTTGCTTTCCCTTATCTTTTGTGATTGGTATAATTTGAATTAAACAAAGCTTTTAAGTACTTATATGTTTTGCTAAATCAGAGCTATAGAATGGAATGCTGTAGTATGCTTTTGATGTAATTAATGTAAAAAAAGAAGTTTTTTGTTTTGAATGTTCGGTATACCTGTGCTGATAATAAAAATAGTAAACGAGAATAACTAGGATAGAAGTAAGAAACATCTTTTTGTGATGTTCAGGTCACATTCTATTCTTGATTTTTCGCAGAACTCAGAATGTCTATGGGCATGCTGCAAATTAGGGCAAAGAATTCCAGCATCAACTTTTCATGTGGCTGCATTTCAGTATGGGGGAAAGCTGGACAGCAGCACAACAAAAACATGTGCTTTTGCTTCCCAACAGGTGGTGCCATTTCAAAGCCTCTCACTGACCTGACTGTGGCTGAGTCCCAGGCAGCTGTTTTTGAATGTGAGGTTGCAAATCCTGAATCAGATGGCCAGTGGCTAAAAAATGGTAGACCATTACCTATGACAGATCAGTACCGTGCTGAATCTGATGGTGTAAAGAGAAGGCTCAATATCCCTGTCACGAAATTGGATGATATGGGTGAATACAGCTATGAAATAGCAAGCTCAAAGACATCTGCCAAACTGAAGGTCGAAGGTCAGTATTTTTTATAACTAACTGATGTCTTTAAGACTCAGTCCAGCATCGCTCACTGTGTCTTGGATCAGACCCTAAAATACAAGCATATTTTGCTTCATTTTTTGAAAATATTTTTATATTATGATGCGCTTTCTGAAGCAGCAAACAATGTCTTTTGGAGTCTCCGTATTTGGAATATAGCATAGTATTTTAATAAAAACACATTTTATTCAACGTACTGGCTAACAGGTAGAAATTCACTCTTTGCTGGTTGTGTGGTAAACATATCAAATAAAAAAAACTGTTTCTCATGGATACTACAAGTAAATGTCCCTTTCTGTGTTCCAAGCACACCACTTCAGTGGAAACTGTATAAATCAGTATACATACTAGATTTTAAAATGAAACACCATGATTCATTTTATTAAGATTACTATATTTACTATAATTTTTAATTTTGGTCTGTTTTGTCAAGTTTTTTTTTTTCTTTTTTTTTTCCCTAGCTGTTAAGATAAAGAAAACACTGAAGAACTTGACTGTGACAGAAACACAGGAGGCAGTTTTCAGTGTAGAACTGACTCACCCTGATGTGAAAGGAGCTCTGTGGATTAAAAATGGTGTTGAACTTGAATCAAATGACAAATATGAAATTTCAGTGAAAGGAACTGTTCACACACTGAAAATTAAACACTGTGTTGTCACTGATGAGTCTGTTTATAGCTTTAAGCTTGGAAAGATAGGAGCAAATGCCAGACTTCATGTGGAAAGTAAGTCAATCTGGTTTGAATATTTGCTTTAATGTGTGGTTTGAAATTCAAATCAAACACACTGCTGAATCTTGCTAACTTCTCTCCTCAAGCTGTCAAGATCATCAAAAAGCCAAAGGATGTGACTGCTTTGGAAAATGCTGTTGTCTCCTTTGAACTCAGTGTATCCCATGATACCGTACCAGTCCGATGGTTCCACAAAAATATTGAGCTTAAACAAAGTGATAAATACAAGATGATCTCTCAAAGGAAAGTTCACAAGCTTATGCTGCATAACATATCTCCTGCTGATGCTGGGGAATACACAGCTCTTGTTGGGCAAATTGAGTGTAAAGCAAAACTCTTTGTGGAAAGTAAGTATTGTAAGTTTGTAACAAAGTAATTATAAGAATTGCTAAAGCAACTCATATTGAACAACTTGACCTGACACTTCATAGCCTGTTACCCTTGGTTTTTTGCAGTCTTCCACATATACTGACTTATAAAAAATCCTTTCTTTTCTTTTGTCTTTTTTTTCCCCTCTTAGCCATACACATCACAAAGACCATGAAAAATATTGAGATCCCTGAGACCAAAACTGCCTCTTTTCAATGTGAAGTTTCTCATTTCAATGTGCCTGCTGTCTGGTTGAAAAATGGTGTAGAGATTGAAATGAGTGAAAAGTTCAAAATAGTGGTCCAGGGGAAACTCCATCAGCTCAATATCATGAACACAAGCAGTGAAGATTCTGCAGAATACACATTTATCTGTGGAAATGACAGAGTCAGTGCAACTCTGACCGTAAAACGTACGTAAAAATGAAATTAACCAGAATATTTCACAGTTACCAATAATGGAGTTTGTATTAATACATGCACTTGGTGCAATTCAGACAAAACGAGCATTGTTGTAGAGGTATTTTCAAATAACCCTAAACAGCCTCAATTACATTTTTAAAAGAGATCTAAAAGCTGTGAACTTGAAAATCAGATCCTGGATTCTTCTTTTTAGGCCAACATGCCTAAACGCCAAGTCACCATAAGAAACAGAATTTGGATTCCTATGTCATTCTGAAGTTTTCGGAAATTTAATTGTAGTATTGATTCTGGACACAGAGCCTTCCTTTTAATATTACCGAAAATCAGAATCTGTCTTAAAGAATTTTAAACATCTCTGATCCAGTTAACATGAAGCAAAACAGGACAAAAAAACCCAAACCATGTCCATTTCTTTTTTTTTAGCTGTCCTAATTACCTCCATGCTAAAAGACATCAATGCTGAAGAGAAAGATACAATAACATTTGAAGTTACTGTTAACTATGAAGGTATCTCATATAAATGGCTAAAGAATGGGGTAGAAATAAAATCGACTGATAAATGCCAGATACGAACAAAGAAGCTCACACACTCCCTCTCCATAAGGAATGTGCATTTTGGTGATGCTGCAGAATACACTTTTGTTGCTGGAAAAGCATCTTCATCAGCCACTTTATACGTGGAAGGTATTTGCCCTCTTGATTTGTGTATTTAGTGACTTCTAGTGGCTTAAATAGCATCATGGTTCTCATTCCACTTTTTTTCTGCTCTAGCTCGTCACATTGAATTTAGGAAGCATATTAAAGATATCAAGGTTGTGGAGAAGAAGAGGGCTATTTTTGAATGTGAAATTTCAGAACCTGACATTCAGGTCCAGTGGATGAAAGATGGACAAGAACTCCAGATTGGTGACAGGTAAATGACTGCTTCTACAGCTTATTGACTTTTGTTACGTATTTTCCCTCAGGAAATAACTTGCTCATTTTCTTTTCTGATGTCCTTAGGATGAAAATTCAGAGAGAGAAATATGTCCATCGTCTCATCATTCCTTCCACGAGAATGTCTGATGCTGGTCAGTACACTGTAGTAGCTGGTGGAAATACATCCAGTGCCAATTTGATAGTGGAAGGTCGTGACATTCGTATCAGAAGTGTCCGTAAAGATATTCAGGTACGGCCTATACAGAAGAATAAATATTTCATAACTTTGTCACTCAAAGAATAATGCAAAGGAAGAACAACAATATCTAACCAGCAAGAGTCCTAACACAAAAATCTGTAATCATAAGGCGCCGCCTTCTAGGAAACTGGAATGTGGGACCATCTGTAAAAACAAATGCCATTTCTAATATTTATTTTACTTGTTCAAAGGTCATTCAGAGACAAAGAGCTGAAATTGAATTTGAAGTCAATGAAGATGACATTGAACCACAGTGGTACAAGGACGGTATTGAGATCAACTTCCAATTTGAGGAAAGATACAGTTATGTGGTGGAAAGGAGAATTCATCGAATGAGCATCTTTGAAACGACATACTCTGATGCTGGAGAATATACTTTTGTTGCAGGACGGAATAGGAGCTCTGTTGTTCTCTATGTGAACGGTATGTGTCCCCACAAACAATGCTTTGACTGTATTTATTACCCTGTGCTTTTCTGATTTCTATATAGCTTTTTTGGAATTCTAATGTGGTGGAAAGGAGAATTCATCGAATGAGCATCTTTGAAACGACATACTCTGATGCTGGAGAATATACTTTTGTTGCAGGACGGAATAGGAGCTCTGTTGTTCTCTATGTGAACGGTATGTGTCCCCACAAACAATGCTTTGACTGTATTTATTACCCTGTGCTTTTCTGATTTCTATATAGCTTTTTTGGAATTCTAACTCTGAAAGTAAAAAAAAAAAAAAAAAAAAAAAAAAAAAATCCAAATAGAATCTTATGTCTGGAACACTACCAAAATCCTCATGTACATGGATGTCTCTTGCTCTACTGAAATAGCTGGCTAGCTGATGAAAATTCTATAGCAGTTCTTTTCCCCACTGGATTTATTTAGACCAGGAAATTCTCAAGTCCAAATAAAACTAATATGTTCATATGGACAAATATGCCTTGCCAGAGGGGTCAACCTGACAATTCTTAGACACATTTTGTCAGAAAACACTTACACCAACACAGCTAATTATGTTAGGGCACTTGCTGCTAGATCCTTCCCCCTGTATCAAGGAAAAAGGCAGATTTTCATAGGCACGCAAGATTGGGAATAATAAGATTTTTTTTAAAAAAATTCTTTGCTAATATTTTTGAAGCCTTGATAAATATCAATAATGAGATTTCTCTCTCTCCTTCTTTCTCCCCTCTCCTTCCCCGCCCCACAACTTGCAGCTCCAGAGCCACCCCAGATTATTCAGGAGCTAGAGCCAACCACTGTGGAGTCTGGCAAACCTGCCCGCTTCTGTGCTATGATATCAGGCAAACCCCAGCCCAAAATTTCCTGGTACAAAGATGATCAACAGCTTTCTCCAGGTTTCAAGTGTAAATTTCTTCATGATGCGCAAGAATATACTCTATTGCTCATTGAAACTTTCCCTGAAGATGCAGCAGTGTACACTTGTGAAGCAAAAAATGACTACGGAGTTGCTACCACTTCAGCTTCACTTTCAGTGGAAAGTAAGTTTCCCATGCTAATAACAATGTCTGTGAAATGAGATTTTCAACATGTGTGTGATCTCCTTCATCTCTAAAAATTACTTCTTTCTCTTATCTTTTAGTCCCAGAAGTTGTTTCTCCTGAGCTAGAAGTACCAGTGTACCCACCTGCTGTCATAATACCACTACGTGATGCTGTTACGTCTGAGGGACAGTCTGCTCGTTTTCAGTGCAGAGTTACAGGGACAGGTGGGTTTAATGAAATCCTGTACACCTTTTCATCTCTCAGAATTTTTTATCTTGAATTCAGGAAAAGATGCAAGTCCCAGAAGTTGTTTCTCCTGAGCTAGAAGTACCAGTGTACCCACCTGCTGTCATAATACCACTACGTGATGCTGTTACGTCTGAGGGACAGTCTGCTCGTTTTCAGTGCAGAGTTACAGGGACAGGTGGGTTTAATGAAATCCTGTACACCTTTTCATCTCTCAGAATTTTTTATCTTGAATTCAGGAAAAGATGCAACAAT